GCTGCGGACCGGTTGCCGATCATTAGGAGTTTTGGCCCGCGACAGAACCACACCTGCCAAATCTGGTGGTTAGCAACAAAATAAAGGATCAGCACTTAATGGGGCTCATTTATCAAAACAGATCGCTTCACAAATGGTCTGAAAGGGATCTTGAGTGGTCTTCAACAGTTTCTCTTTTCTGGCTGGGAGATCTTTGTATTGATTCAAATGTCAACTCAGAAAAGAATGTTACATTTTAAGGTCAAAAAAGTGCTTCAGGCGCTTCTGTGTAGATTGAAAGGTTGAAATAAGTTGCTATTTACTTGCATTGCCGTTAATATTTAAAAATAAAAAAGACGTACTACTTCTTCACTAAGTTCAAAAGTGCATATCAGCTTGACAGTTTCTACAGAGAAAGTAGTTGTCGAGATGCGTTCGCATTTCAAACAACTAATCTGTATATCTGTGCTCTGTCTTGTAACAAAAAAAATGAATTTGAGGAATTAAATAAACTCCTGATAATAATTCTTGTGAAATGAATTGCTGCAGTTTATCTGTCAGGCTCTTACCAAGGAGCAAAGATTGTGAATGATTTACCGCACCTGTCTTTTGAGTTGATGTGACAGACCAGCTGCCTGTTGTTCACAAATCTGCTGTGGAGTAACAAATCCTTCTTAATCTTTGAAATAGCTCTTCCTCTGCAAAACAAACACCCATATTCAGGTGCACAACCTGCCCCAATACGGTTTCCTTCACAGTGTTTAAATATCTTATCTTTAGACACATTATAGTCCATAAGTCACCAAAACATTACGTCTCCAATTTTAGACGATAGATGAAGGTTACTTTCACAATTGGTAATTACAGGTTGCTGCAAGCGCACAAAAGTCGCTCTCACACACAACAGATTCCTACTAACAGGTACAAGGACGTAAGAGTGACAGATTTCGTGTGACAGAAGCATTAGTTAGTTTGAGCATAAGGGTTAGTTCAGGCCACCAAGTCAAGCTCAGCTCACCTGACAGCTAAAGCAGTGGATATCAGTCAGCCCACATTAGCTGATGGCTCAGCTCCCTTCCATCCATTCATTGGCAAAGCTCAAGGCGACTTCTTTCAGCTGCTTCAGCCTGCCTACCCCTGCTGCTTCCTCTGCAAGCTGTTTTGTAACCGACCTCCACCCCAGCTCCCCCTTTTTTATACAATGTTTGATTCATTCAGGGTAATATCTGTTGTCATTGATGCGCACTCTGTTCTGTTCCCTTTGGTAATCTTGCTGCTGCTCTCCCTGTCTTAATCTTTTCAAGTATGCATGTGGAAGGGAAGGGAGGTCCCAGCACAGAGCCATACAACCAAATGTAACTTATGCAGATGCAAATGGAAGATTTCTCTGATGAAAATGATCCTGACTGAACTGCTTTGAGGGCCACATGCCCCAAACTGCAGGTGAAACTTTGAGGTCTATCTATCTAAGTGAACAATAACAACATGGTCGAGTGAGCACGCTGCAAATAGTGCTGTTCATAGCTATACAATGCAGCAACGGAGCAGAACATCCATTCTTGGAAGAGGTAAGCACTTTAAGAGCAACCCTCTAGTCAGAGGTTACAATGACCCTTAAATATATGAAAACAGAAAGTGTTTTTGGTTGAACAACTGCTTTTCATGCAGCTCTTTAGAAATATTTTCTACTACCTCCTGAGTCAGAAAGGTTTTGTACGTGTTTCTTTATGGGGTGACACATCAGGGCCAGTGAGTGTCTGTAAGTTATCAAAAAACACAGACGTAGCCTGGAGGTGGGAGCTGGAATATTATTTTGATTTAGTAAGTTTTCTGATCTATATTTTTTTCATGAGGGACAAAAGTTAGAAACATACTTTGATCTGCACAGATGGACAATGTCCTCCGAGATGAGTGAACATATTTGATTTCCTTCAGCAGCCACTTTGCATCCACATTTTTCTAATTGAATATCACTCCTTAAGGACAATCCCATTGTTCAAAGTAATCCCGAGCTGATTTTAATTCCTTTTTTGGGGGACAAAGTTTTATGATTTCAGAACCAGTTTTTTTTTTGTCACTCTCTCAACTGCCATGCTTTACTGTGAAACCAGTTTATCCCTGCAGCCTTTATAGCGTGGAGTCAAAATGATAACTAACTGACTCTTTCTGGAGAAATTTGCTAACTTTAGCTACCATGAGCTACTTGCAAATATCCCGATATCAACACTGCCATCTTGCACTTTTGGAGCCAGAGTCTGCACAGTAGTGTTTGGCGGATGGAGCCGTGGTATCGAGGTCCCGCTGATACACACCCTCAACCAATGGTGAGCCAATCCCAGCTCTCAGTCATGCTTTATCCTGACACCACAACCACACTATTTCTAAACGTAAAATATCTGTGTGATAAGAACTAACTAAAAAACAAGTTGACATGTATTATTATTTTGGTCCATGCACTACAATGGAGGAGGTCGGGTTTATGATGTATACTGCAGCCAGCCACTAGGAGACTTTATGACTTCACATTTTGTGAGCTGTCATGTCCTCCATCTTTATAAACAGTCTGTATATAACTGAGGATGTGTTGATGACAAATCTGTTGTTTCGTTATGTACTGATGTTGTTTTTTGTTTCCCGGCCCTGACTGTGAAGTCTTATGACGTTGTTGTTGTGAGTGGTGTTATTCAGCTGAGACTCACTGATGTATTTTTAGAAGTCTGGGACAAAAACAACCAATTATCCTGCCTCTGTTGTCACCTGCATTAAAGTACTGACCTTTTACAGAAAAGTGGTCGCACTTTTACGCAAAGGTGTTAATCTGCAGTTTGGCTTGAACACGGGTGTTTGTGCGTTCTGAGCAGTTGGCTGCATCGTCATTCACTCCTAATGAACAGCATGTTTTCAAACACATGTCGGAGGTAGATGACTCTGTTCAAAATAAAATATCACAACCTTTATTGTAACTTATGTGAAACCCAACACATTAGTTTCTTTACACAACCTCAACAAAGAAAAGATTAACTTTCACTGTGGAGGCACATATACATATATATTATATACACAGATGTCTGAAAGTTAGGAGAGCTGCAATACTCAGCTTATTCAATTATGAAAATATACCTGCAATATCAAAGTTGGCTTCCAGCATATAATACGTTTCTTATTGATGTTCAACATTAGCTATGCTGAGGATGTGATTCCTTCCTCACAACTTAAACTTATAATGCAAGAACACACAACCTAAGGAAGCAAAATATGTCCGACCATTAAACCGCCTTTGTTATTCCACATTAAGAGCTGTCCCCTTTATAGCATTAAATACAGTGAGACACTCTGAGCTGTATAGAAGAACATGCAGCTCACACGCTCAATGAATACCTGTTGACTAATCCACAGTTCATGTGTTAAAGGCATTCGCACAAGGTCAACGCACAAAATAAAGTAGATTAAATATAAATAAAATGTTTTTAATGGAAGTCTGAAGCAATTCTTTTAATGCCCTAATTATGACCCCTATAACAAACACAAACTCATGTGTTTGAACGTTTAATTGCCACATTAATGAAGCATTAGACCTTGCAACTCAATTATGACTCTTGCTCCACACAACATTTTGTGAAAAAGAAAAAAGGAAATTCTGGGTTGCTTAGAAACAAGCCTGTTGCCTGCTCCGACAATGTGGGGAAAAAAGATTAAGAGACCTTAGTTAGCTTTTACATGATAAGGCCAGTGAAAATAACCTTGACCCCCCGTGTAACAAACGGTTTGCTGCAGCTCGAGCATTTTCTACCGAACTCCAGCTATTTCATTTGGTGTGTGGGTTGTTGTGTCTCCCTTTGCCCATGCAACCTTTGAGAGTGCAGCGCTGGGGCTGTAACACCAGCCAGAAGAGGCCTCTGGCACTTCTTGGGGAGAAGGAAAGTAGGTTAAAGTTTTTCAGTGCTGATCAGTGTGTCTTGTTGCCGCGGCGCCTCAGAGAAGCTTCACAACGGCACAAAAAAATGCACACATGGGCATAGGCAGAGCAACATGCAAACGCATCGCATGGTGAAAACACTGATTTCTTCGGAGCCGGGAATACCCTAGATGTGCCGGCAGCTCTCAAATTAAGCAGCTCGGAGACAGAGGAATCAAATGCGTTTCCATTAAGGGGAAAATATTCCATCTACCCCCTGTCATAACGACACTGTATGGCAGCATTATGGGGAAATATCAAATTAGGCTGTTTCATTTGGAGGACTGTTGTGCATTGCGAACAGCTTTGGAGATCAATTGAGCAGCTAGGTAATGAGCGGCAGCGGCCTGCTCTAATATAGTCAGTAATGTTCTTTTGATTGCTTTGGTTAATCTCGCTCTGCCGTGCAGGGGGGGGCAGCCCCCCGCCCTCCGCTGAATGCCGGGCCTCAGCCCCGGTTGGAGGGAAAAACAAGGGGCAGCAGTGCTTCAAAAGTCAAACCACATGAATCAAATTCTTATATTCTTATATCGAATTTTTGTCACTAGGAATTCATGAGGGAACTGTCAATATGCCAAAGACTTTTAACAAATGCAGGAGCACAGAAGTGAAGACCCAGCTGAATAGGCCACAGTGGACGACCTTCAAGTGAAGTGTCGATGATGTGTCGCTGCTGAAGTGGATAGAATCAGACAAAGTATACCACTCTGCTCTCTGAAAGCAAAGCCTCTCACTCATGCACCGCTCGCAAACAAGTAAGAGGTGCTCTGTCGCTCTCGCACACTCACAGCTGTGACCGTTTAATATGCACCAGCTCGTTTCCATTCCTCTGCACCTCTTGGCTCTCGCATAAACGCTAACAAACCTGTACAAACACTTTTGCAAATATGCTGCGCCACGCCGCTGCATGCCACATTATCTGCCACGTTCCATTGCGTACACTGCATGTTTATTATTTTTTTTACATCCATATGTTTGCAGAGATGGCTGTGGAATTGGTTTACGGGACTGTGCGGTTGCCAGCTGGGAGCTGCTGGAGGTGTTTGTCGTTTGGCGCAACTCTTACCTTTCCACGTGGTCCAGGTTCCCTGATACGCCCAGTCCTCCTATGGTGTAGAGCTTGCCGTCGTACACCAGGCTGTTGTGTTTACAGCGAGCCACAGTCATGCGGGACACCAGGTTCCAGTTGTCCAACAGGGACATGTAGCACCATACGTCAGCCACCATCACACCCGACTCCGTACCACCTGAAATGTGTAGCATGAGGGTTATTGAATATTTATATATATATAAGGTTTACATGAGTGTTTTCGCAGCAGAAAACAGGGAAACAAGACCCTTTTGGGAAACACAAGAACTTGTTCCTGCGTGATAGTTGCAGGCACTCTCCAATGGTTCAGGAAGCTTCCTAATAAAAGTAGCAAGTGACTCTAATATATATATGGATTAGGACAACTAAAGAAATATATACATCTTGTCCTATATTCTAAATATAAAATCCCTGTCCGGCTCTAAAAAAGAAATAAATGCATTTAGCATAAAGAGCAATAAACTTTTTAGTATGGTTTATGGCATCAAGTGACAGGATAAAGATTAAAATGTTGTTTTTATTTCTCGCTTCAAAGCTTCTATTCAATATTGAAATCTTCATTCCCAAATGCTTTTTGGGGGGTTAAAGGAAAAGTGAAAGACTTGGACAACTTTGACAGGAAGTAGTTTCCTGCTGCAGGTGAACCAGCCAAGCAACAAACCTGTACTTGTTTGAGCTCTCTTTAAAGCAGCCCTGTTAGCTGTGCAGCCTGACATGTAACGCCGGCTGTCTCAGCGTCCCTGCTCCCAGTGTGAGGAAGGTTACAGACCGGAGCCCGCTGATTGGCTCGCCAGAACACCTAAGATTTCCCCACCGGCCGCCTGACTCCCAGCGGACACATGCAGACCTGTTCCAATGCCCAAACACAAATTTACATTTATATGAAAAAAGGGGAGAGGAAAGGTACACGCAGGACAAATCCTGTTGCATTTCCACGGGTGCAATGTCAAGGTCTGATTACCATGCAGGATTCTCGCACAAATGGACCGTGGAGGGAGAAATTCGGTCTAGCTCTGGAGGAGCAACTTAAAGGTGTCTCACAGAGGGAGTCACAGAGTGCACAGTGTGCGACTGTGGAACAAAATAAACTGCAGAACACTGCAGACACTGTAAAGCCAGACAGAGAAAAAAAAAAGTTTCAAGAAAATTGCACCTCAGAAGGTGAATAGAAGAGACATTGTATAAAAAACAACCCCTGAAAAACTTTCAAATCAGCTGATGAGTAAGGCCTGAGGGCTGGCAGCCTTTTAACACTGTTTGTAAAGGTCACAGGAAGACGTCTGCAGCCTGAGCAGCTTCACTTTACTGAAGCATATCTGATACAGAGTGAAAATGTGCTTGATAACAGATCACAAATGTCAAGTTTGGAGTCCTGAGTCTCATTATGATGCAAGTGACTTTGACAAAAGAGGTTAGAGACAAGAAAGTCAACAGAAAGTATTTTGTCATGTATCATGTAACCTTTTACATGGAACCATAGAACCACAGAATGCATCAGGACAAAATATCTTCACCTCCTGGTTGTTATGAAACTGAAGATGCTCTACATTTTTTTACTCAAGTTTCTTGAGGCAAATTTGTTCCGTCGACTTCAGTTTCCAAGACCAAGATGGAAATTTTAAAACCCGACTCCAAAACTCCAGTGTTTCTCAAGTGTCTCTTGTAGCTGATTTTCATCACCTCCACTAAGGAGAAGGATGTGTCTCAGGAAAGAATCCATACAATTTTGGGACAGAACTGGATCAGGGGTCACGTCTTTAACATTGAGTTTTTTTCTAATTTCTCAGACAATAATTTATGAATCTTGATGAAAAAAAAATGTTGAGAGGACTAATATTAAATAGTTTTTGCATTTTAATCCAAAAAACATAATTTGGATCTTGTGAATTTAAATGTGGTTTCATAAGAGGAGTGTTGGGCCTTGGCAGAGGTATGCAGTCTGCTGAGAGTCTAGTTTTATTGAATGCAAGTAAATAACTTAAAAAGATTCATAAATCCAACTTATTTGTAGCATGTATTTAATCCAACTGCATGGAGATGTACTTCTGTTTTATTAAAGGGTTGGACTTAATTTTTATTGAAAATGATTTACTTCCAAATATTTTAATAGTAAATATGAGTGCAGGGATTAGCACTGCCCAGGTTGCCTCACGACAAGAGGTTCAAATCTCAGTTCATGCCATTTTGAGTGTTATTCCATTGTTTACTTGGGTTGTAAACGTTTCAAAGACATGCGGGGTGAGGTTGATGAGAGCCTTTAAAATGACCTTAGGTGTGAATATGAGTGTAAATGGTTGTTTGGGTGTCCCTGGATTGGCTCCAGCTGCCCCTGCGAGCCTCAAAAGGATAAGTGGTAAGGATAATGGATGGATGGATGGATGGAAGTAATATGAAGTGTTGCTGGATGAAGGGATAACTGTTCTCTACTGAAGGCATCTACTGTCCTCCTCCGCTGATCCTCAAAATCTTAGTTTGTGCTGTTGGAGTGGAGTGATTTAATTTACCTGACAGGTAGATGTTGTCCCCCGCTGAGATGACGCTGAAGAACTCACGGTCGTAGAAAGGCAGGCTGGCCAGCGGGTACCACTTACTGTTCTGCGGGTTAAAACAGGTAACTGCTGTCAACGAGCGCTGGCTCATCCCGATAGCCTGACGCCCTCCCACCAAAACAATCACCTCTGCTACACCTGGAGGACAAAGGAACAGGAGGAGGATGCAGGAAGATGATAGGGGTGGACAAAGGAAATGAAAAGACAGAAAGAGAGCAGACTGTCAGGGTTTCCACCAGTTAATAATGGACAAGACTGAATCAAAAATACCCAATGAGACGCTCAGCGCTGCAGTAACGAGCAGCATAATGTCTCCTGGCATGCTGCACACTGTTTAAAAGATTTATACACGACTTTAACAGTTAAATGTGAATATTTTTATACATCCAATAATAAAACGATTTAAAAAACACCTTCATTTGCAGAGGGGAACCTTGATGAGCTGCTTGATGCACAATCAGCCATAGATTGCAAGTCTGCTGTTTTAAATTGAGCAGGCCTTGAGTCAGTAAGCTTTTCAGGAAATGCAAAGCAAGAAGCAAATAATAGAGAAGTTTCCTCTCGGTCTCAAAAAAAAGGAAAAAGTTAAATGGCAAAGTGTAACTCAATTACCAGGACTGATGGGGCTGCAGTTTGCTCTGTTATTCTATGTTCCCACACATGACACAAGCACTGACCTACACAGTCACTGTCCACACACGTACAGTGAAACACACACTTCTCAGATAATCACAAAATCAATACACAAGAATCAATATGTGTACATTTATATGTGGAGATGTGTCTTGTCTCACAAACAGACACACTCACACACACACTAAGGGCCTTCTGTGATTAAGAAGATACTTGAAACATGTTCAGTCGATCTCTGCTGCACTCACACACACACACACACACACACA